TGTAGCATGTATAGCACCCACACCCCGGTAAAATCATCTCAGCAGATGGGCTGTCCAGGTGCAGGGTAACCAATAAGTCTCAGACTCATCAAGATGTGTACCCTAAGCGCATGAAGGACCGCACTTCTCTCTGTGGAATGGGCATATGAGAACAACTTGTTTCAGTGGCCATGAAGGCAGCTGAAGTAGGTGCTGTGGAGCAATTAGAGTTTGGTAAGACCCAGAGAACTCGAGGTCATCCACTACATTCTAGACCATCACTAATTATCTTGACTTCTGTCTTGCCACTGGACTTTGATGACTCTGGAAGAGAGAGTGAGGTCGATGACCTTGTGCAGCTCTGCCTCAGATCCAATTCACACCCAAGTGGAGACATCACCTATGATGCTTCATTGGGCCTCTTCCTAACAAAGGACGAACGTAACAACAGCTGCATGACCTTGGGCCTCAGTTTCCTCATCTCTAGAGTGAGGGAGTAAGAGTACATGTCTTTAAGATCTAGATCTCATGATCCTTTTGGCCATAGTACTTAGTGTTCTGATCATTCTAAGTCTTTGGAATAGTCTCCTGGTTCCTGAGTCTGTCAAGCTGCCTTATTACTCACTGTTTCTGAGCTGCCTTCTCAGGATTTCCATGTCCTTCTGCAGTGGAAATGTGAGCACTGATGAGCTTCTTGGCCACCGTTTGACGAAGTATCCCACTCTAGGCCTGAGTCTAATGAATGTTTGTCTCTTCCAGCCTCAACTTAATTACTTAGAAAATAGAAAAGGTTGTGATAAAGGTTAAAGAAAGAAACTCATCAAAATTCTCCAAAGTGACAAATGGAAGACATGGAGAAACTGGAAGAAGGCGGAAGTGAGATAGAATGGAAAGAGCTACACTGCAGGATTCGGGAGAGCTGGGCTCTGGCCAGAACTTTGTTTCACCTCTCAAATGAGTGGGTAGTACCAGAATGATCTCTGTGGTTCTGGCTGCTCTCATAGCCTTTCTTTTGAGGTCCTTTCCAGCTCTGGAAAGGCATTCAGTAGCTCTGATCAGGCAGACTAAAGTTAAGTGGCCAGGTGAGGCAGTAAGTCAAAGAGGGGTGTAAAAGGGTGTTTAGATTTATGGGAATGGGAGGATAAGGGAGCGATCTTGGAAGGGCTGTAGGTTAAGTCATAGGAGGGCAAGGTAGCAGGTAGAAGTAAAATGGAGGAGTCAGGAAGGATAGATAGGAAATAAGAGATATGCGCAAACATAGAAACAAAGATCAGGAATAGAATTTGTTAGGGCAAGTATATGTATATGTTTACGTGTATGTGTGTATGTATGTATAGCCAGGCTGGGGCGGGAAGGGGAGAAAACAAAGTAAAACTACGAAGCAGAGAACAAAAGAAAACTTACAAGGAAGCAAAGATGGACAGCTCTCAACACAATATGTAGTATTTATTACATAGGCTTTCTTGAAATGGAAATTTATTGCTGCATATTTTGAATCCTCTCTTACATCCTGCTGGACACATAACATGCTTGTCTTTTATTTTATATTTATATTTCTTTTTCTTTTCTTATTGTGTATTTAAGTTTTAGTATTTTAAGTCTAAAATAAAAAAAAACAGGCCACACTCATTACTCTTAAGAGATCAGAGTAGAGACTGATGCTGAGTTGGGGCAGGGTGGTGCTTCTTGGAAGAAGATGGGGCCTAATTTGGGTCTTAGAGGAACAGTAGAATTTAAATAAGGAAGAGACCAGAAGAAGGTACTCCATAAACGAACACAGAGAAGACAGAAAACAGATCAGTCAGTAGCAGTCGCATGTAGGGAAATAATGTTAAAGTCTTGTGGTCTGGTAGACCACTGGATTTTGATTCATAAAACCTGGGTTCAAATCTCAAAAAAGAGTCCCATCTCTTTGGGACTTTTTCATTACTTAACCTTCTGGGGCTGTTATGGGATAAATCCTTGAGAAAATGAATTATAATATTGGAAAAATATTTTGTTGGTAGCTAGCTATGCACTTCTTATAGTATGTTTTTAAATTAGAGCTATTTGTATGAAGTACCTTTGTATGAGAAGACCTCTGGGACTTTGAGTCTTGAGACCTGGATTCAAATCCTCTCCTTGATAGCTGTGTGACCCTGAGCAAGTCATTTCCCCTTGAGCTCCATTGGCCTCATCTGCTAAACAGAAATGTTTGCCCTCTCTAGCTCTCAAGGTTGTTGTGAGGACAGTGCTTTGGGAATCTGAAAATTCTATGGAAACGTAAATTATTTTTCCTGGATTATAAGTACCTTGGGGGCAGAATTTATATCTTGTTTATTGTTTCTTTCACTGTACTTTGCATATGGTAGATGATCAATAAGTGGTCTTTGTTCTTGGAAGTCATCTTATGAAAGGTCTTGAATTTAATCTTTAGGTTGTAGGCAGTGGGGTGGGGGATAAGTTGGGGAGAGGAAGATAGTACAGAAATGAGGGAGTTTGTCCAGAATTGTCACGTGCAAAGTCCTCAGCTTTGTACATCCTGAGAATTTATAAATGTTTGCTGACTTGATTTGTTTTCATTCTTCAAACACTCATGTTGATGAGTTTTTAATAATACTGTCACTTCCCAATGATCCTCTCTGTATTCCTGTCCCCCAACACACACACACACACACACACACACACACACACACACACACACACACACCCTCAATAGAACTCTGCCAAGTAAAGAGAAAATCCAATAAGCAAAACACATCCACAGATTAGGCATGTCTGACAACGTGTGCTTCATCCCACACCTCTACTCAACCACCTGTCCTCTGAAAGGAGAGAAGCATTCGTCCTAATCAGTCCTTTGGAGTCATCAGCCACAGGCATTTGTCAAGTTATGATTTCTTTCAGTTCTGTTTCTCTTGACGTTATGTTGGTCACTGTGAAAATTATTCCTCTGGTTCTGCTTGCTTCATTGTGTTTCAGTTCATACAATGAATCCTACACATTTTGTCATTTCTTAGTCTTATATATTCTTATGCATTCTGTCTTAATATATAGTCTTTTATACACACACACAGAGACACACAGAGTCTTATATATTCTGCTGTGATCATATACCAGAATTTGGCCAGGCACACCCACTCCCCAGTCAAAGGGTACCTACTTTGCTTCCAGTTGCTTACTACCACAAAAAGTGCTGTTATAAATAGTATTATGTAGATAAGACCTTTCACTCTATCTTTGGTCTCCTTGAGGTATACTTTGAAGTGGTTTCTCTACATCAAACAGTAAATATTGTTTACTGATTCTTCTAGTGTCCAACTCCTCATTGAACAGAAGGGGGAACTGAGGCCCAGAGAAGGAAAGTGCCTTGTCCAAGGTCACCTAGGCAGTAAGTGGCAAAGCCACTTTGAACCTTTTTAGGAAGACCTGTGTGAAAGCATGGTGTGAGATGGATTGTTTCAGGGAGACCTAGGAGGAATGTGTCAAAGTGGTCCATGCAGTTGTGAGGTGATGAGGGCCTGGACAAAGATGGTGGTAGTGGAACAGGTGGAATGACATTAAAGAAAGCTCCACAGGACTTGGTTATTGATTGGGCATGAGAGCAGCAGGAGAAGTAAAAAAAAAAATTAATTCCAATTCACTTTTCAGTGCAACAAACACGTATTGTGTGAAGAACAAGTGGAGAATTATGGTGCAATTGACAGAAAAGGTCCAAAAGGGGAGTGTTTTTTAAGGGGCATATGCATGAGTTTGAGGTCCTGATGGGATGGGTAGGCAGAGAGATCCAGTAGGCATTTGAAGATAAAGTAATAGAAGTCAGGACAGCAGTCAACTCTGGGAATATAGATTTGGGCGTCCCTGTGCTGAAGGTAGCAATAGTTAAATGAGTGAGACGAGTGATTGGAGGGAGACCAAGCCAGTGTCGAAGGGCCAATGACAATCCTTGGGAGCTGTCTGCATCTAGGACAAGAGGTGGCAGAAGGAGCCAGAAAGGGAGGAGGAGAAACAAGAGGATGTACTATCATGGAAGACCGGAGCAGGGCCGGAGCTATAAGAAACCGGAGATGGTCGTAGTGTATGTTGTAGGGAGATCTAGGTAGATATGACCTGAGAAAAATCCTTTTGGATATGATCATTGGGACCTGCTTTCTAGAGAGAAACTAGTTTCAGAAAAGCGGACTTCATAAAAGCGTAGGATTTACAGCTGGAGGGGCCTGAGAGATGTCTATCTAGTCCAGTGCTGTCATTTTGCATTTGGAGAAAGTAAAACCTAGAAAAAGAGAAATGACTTGCCCAGGGTCACATGAACGACACATAGCAGATGAAAGGTTTACACCCAGGGCCTCTGGCTCAAAATTCAGTGCTTTTTCTACTGTACTACACTGATCGCTCCTGGAAGCCAGATTGTAAAGGGTTAAAGTGAGAAAGTAGAAGCAGTGAGTATGAACTTCTCTGTTTAGAAGCTTCGTAACTGAGCTGTCCAGTCTCCTTTACATTGAGAAGAAATAATGCTCATAACAGCTCCTTAACTCTTTAAAATTTATTTTAAAAAAATACTTTATGAGAGCCCTCTGATGTAAGGAGTGACCTGTTAGTAACCCCACTTTTCAAATGCAGAAACTGAGGCTCAGAAAGTGACTTGCCCAGGGGAAGCTTGGTACACAGCTGGCAAATATCAGAGCCAGACTTCAAACCTAGGCCTGCTAACCAAGTCCAGTGTTCTTTTTTTTCTTCTGGGTCAGGGTGGGAAGGGCAATGATTTCTGTCTTTGTCTGACCTCTCCATGGGAACACCCAGTTCTTTTCCAGCCTCCAGGAGCTACAGTGTACCTGGCCCAGCTCCTAGCAGACAAAGCCTGCCAAAAGTCCTCCCTTGGACGGATATAGGGAATAACCAGAACCCTGAGGGGGAGTGGATAGTGGCTGAGCTTCCATCCAGCAGTCATCCCTAGCTCAGGCCTGTGTCCCTAACAGGAGTGCTTCAACCCCGCATAGTACAGTACCTGATTCAACAGCCTGTCCTCCTCTATGCCCCCACAGGCAAGCGGCTCCAGGAATGGTGCTGCGTGATCCTCTGCTTCTCCCTCATCGCCTTCAATCTGTGCCATCTCCTGCAGTTTACCAGCCTGGAGCACACACACCTCGTGCTGCTGGGAATATGTGAGTGTATGAACAAATGAAGACTTTCTGTGACCTGAGCAGGGGGAGAGGGGAAGGGAGGTGTCTGTGTGGCTTCATTCTGTGTGCTTTGTTTACCTCTAAAACTGTATACTGGATCATGTGATGCTAGCCCCTGGGAAAGGTGGCCAGGGAAGGGGGCGGAGAAACATGCTTATGGAAAGGCAGGGTGGTGTGGTAACCAAAACACTGGACTCGTCATGGATCCTTTCAGTGACTCTTGTCCCTGCTACAAACTGTGATCTGGACAAATCAGTGCATGTCTTTGGGCTTTCTCTTGAGACAGAGAGAGAGAGAGAGAGAGATTGCACTCACTGATCTCTAAAGATCCTTGTTCTAGTGATGATTTATATAGCATGGTTTGCAAAGCACTTTTCTAAATCGTGTAATGTGATCAAGCAAAAGGCTCATGGCGCTGAGCCATCACAGGAGCCAAGAGGCTAAGATCTTTATGTAGATAAGACAGATTAAGAAAACCGCCCTGGGTATCTTTCTTTCTCTACTATTTGATTAATTTAAGGCTCAGATTATTTATGAATTTAGACTTTTTCCCCTTATAAATCAAAATCCTCTTTTAAATTCAAGATGTCTTGGCTGGGGATGAGGGAAAGAGGTAGGATCTGGTAGTTTTGGGTGTCTAGCACATAACCTCTGGAGAGGAAGCAGGATAGAATTCAGGCCTGGGAGTCTGAGGATGAGGGAGGGGCAGATTCCTAGTTTTAATATGTATTTACTGATGGAAAAGAGCTGTCAGTGTAGTAGAGAGGAAAGAACACTGGATTCAGAGTCTAAGGATCTAGGTTCAAATGTCTTCTACCTTGCAACTTCAAACAAATCACTTCACTTTAGTGCCCTCGAAGGTTCCTTCCAGCTTTCAATCCTGGGAGCATTCCTTCAGGAGGATCTGTCTTGCGCAAGGCATAGAGTGAATCAGAGTAAAAAAGTACCTTTGGAAGGCTTTTGCATTTGTCCGTGTATGTGGTGATGAGGGCCCAGACAAGGGTCGTGATAATGGGTTGGAAAGGAAGGGAGAAATATGCAGTCATTATAGATTCTTTCTCTAAAGTAGATTAGCAGGACTTAGCTGGACCTCAAGGAGGCCAGAAACTGACATGGCATAGTAGAGGAATGAGCCTTGAATTGGGAAGAGGAAGGCTTTAGATCAGATGCTGGTTTTTTCCATTAACTTGGGCTCATCACTTTTTTCTCAGCTTCAGTCTCTCAAGTGAAGAAATTGGACTAGCTGAATTCAAAGATAAGAGTTCTTATATTCTATGATTCTATGAGCTTCTTCCCCATAGGGGGGAAGACTGGAACTCACTGGCTAAGTCTGCCCAGCTGTAACCTCCAGGCATGCATTTCCTCCTACCTTCCATAGAGGCCATGCAGGGCCTTTAATGCAGACTTTTTACAACTCTGAGGCTTACTATCTCTAGGCCTTTATGTTAAACCACTTCCTGCCTCCCTCTCTTTTTTTGAGGGGCATGATGGGACCACTGGTTTGGTTAGACTAGCTTTATTTATTTATTGCATGGGTGCTGTGTTGAAACAGCCTGGGTAAGGATGAGACATTTGGTGTGGGGCTGAGAAGAGGTTGTTTCCTCTTTAACTCCACATTGGTCTCGTTGAGTTTGTGACCCAAGAACTTGGATAACTCAATCAAGGTTCTGTCTGTCTTGTTCTGTAGGCCCTGTAAAACAGGACTTGGGGTTGTTGGAGTCCTACAAAAAGACTTCTGTCATTCCCATAAGCCACTTGGGTAGCAGCTGACAGGCAGGAATTTCCAACCTGAGTTTAAGAAGCTAGCTCAGCATAGTTTAGTAGAAAAGAGCACTGGATTTAGAAGACCTAGTTTCAAGTTCTGGCCCTGCTATTTACTATTACTGTATTATATTAAGCAAGCCAGTTAATTTCTCTGGGCCTCAGTTTCCTTCTGTGTCAAGCGAGGAGGTTCTATTAGATTCCTTCTAATATCTATTAATTATTTTAAAAATATTTCCTATTCTGTATGTAAAAAAAGTATGCTTCAATCTATACTCAAGAGTTCATCAGTTCTTTCTCTAAGGTAGATAGCATTTTTCATTGTGGCACCTTTGGAATTGTCTCGCATCATTGTCTTGATCTGAGTAGCCAGGTGTTTCACAGCTGATCATTGTTACAATATTGCTGTTACTGTGTACAGTGTTCTCACTCCTGCTCACTTCACTTTGCATTCGTTCATGTAAGTCTTCCCAGGTTTTTCTGACACCATTCCTCTCATCTTATGGCATAATAGTATTCTATCACAATCATGTCTCTTAATTTGTTCAACCATTCCCCAATTGATGGCCATCCCCTCAATTTCCTATTCTTTGCCACCACAAAAAGAGCTGCTATAAATATTTTTGTACTAATTTTGACCTTTAAAGAAGGTCAAGAGACATAGTTTCTGGGTAATTTAATCATTTTATTAATAAGACCAGCAGGTTATTAATAAAAGGATGGTCATTTGGCTATCTCTCCTGGACCAAAAACAATGGTAATGGTGGACTCACAATAAATGATGTTTGTCCTTCTTCATTCTGGAAGAGATTGTGTGGTTGTGGTTTGTCCGTTCTTTTTTTCTTTTTTCTTTTTGGTGAGGTGATCCCAGTTAAGTGACTTGCCCAGGGTCACACAGCTGGTAAGTGTTAAGTGTCTGAGGCTGGATTTGAATTCAGGTCCTCCTGACTCCAGGGCCAGAGCTCTATTCACTGTGCCACCTAGCTGCCCTGTTTGTCCTTCATTCTTGAAGAAGACCATGAGGTCAGGGATATGACATGACTTGGCAATTGAATTGGATTTGACATAGGGCTGTACAGAGTCACCAGCCTTACTTTCTCCTGAGCCATGTGGGTCCAGTGACTAGACGTTGATCAGGGTGACTGGAGATGGCCCTGGATGCGTTGGGAGACTTTTTAAGTCTTTAAGTCTTGGCCTTTTTGTTTTGTTCATTTTTTTTTTAGGCAATTGGGGTTAAGTGACTTGCCCAAGGCCACATAGCTAGTAAGTGCCAAGTGTTTGGTCTGAGGCTGGATTTGAACTCAGGTCCTCCTGACTTCAGGGCCAGTGCTCTAGCTACTGTACCACCTAGTTGCCCCTTAGTCTTGGCCTTTTTAAGCTAAGGTCTTTTAAGTTCTCACTTTGAGTAAGGCAGTGTCTATTAGGCATCTTTAAGAATTGAGTCTCAACTCACGGTGCCATGAGAATGCCTAAGGAGGGGCAGATATGGCTCCTAAGGAGCAGCAAACTAGTCCTAATTGGAAATGGATCAGGTCAGAACTTCTGTGATGAACAGTAGTGGAATCAAGCCTATAAGTAGCCACTGTACTTTCACCCTGAGTGAGATGGTAAGGCAAGGCAAGGCTTACTATTTTTCTGGTATATTGTTCTGAGTATTCCTTTTGTATGTGGGTTGCACTAAATGGTTATTAAAATTACTTTCAATTTAAAAAAAAAAGAATTGAGTCTCAAGATGACCCCTTTAATTTAAAAAAATAAAACAAGACAAAACAAACTGGGAAGGGAAGACCTTCAGGGTTTCTGGTCAAAATGGAAACAATTGTTATTTGCATTCATTCCGAGCCAGTCGTGGTCCAAACAATGACCGTAGGGCTTGGCCTGGGACCTGTTGTTGGTCAATCAATGAGAGCCTGAGTGATTTGGGGTTAAGGCTGGTGTTTAAGAGGGAAAAAAAATTTGGAGATTAAAATGTGCATTCCCTTTAGGCACAGCACCTGCAGGTAAGGGTGTTATTACACCCTTATGTGGACAGAAGGAAGGAAGGCAGACACAGACAGATGTGTTTCCCAACTGGACAGTTCCAGTATGGTCTCTAGTGGGCAGCCCATTCCTTTTCTACTCACAGAGATTGCTGTTTGTCCATCGTTCTCAAAGAGGAAGACAAGAAGGTGATGTCATGACATGCAAGTTAATGGGTCCTGAATGGGCTTTGCCTCAGTCAAATCGAGTCAAACTTTACCTTGAAAGGGCCAAAGTGCCACACTGCATCCTGGGCCATCTTCAGTTGTCCTGATCTGTATTGACCACTGGACTCAGATGGCTGCAGAGGACAAAGTGAAGCTGGTGACTTTGCATAGCCCTCCCTCGCTTAAATCCAATTCACAGTTTATATACCCTTAAAAACCAAAAAGGTGATCATTAAGAAGCTGAGAGAGTGATCCTTGCACAGAAAAACTATCTTTACTCAGACCACCTGAAGTCTAGCTACCTAGCTAGACTAAAGGATCTGGCTTCACCTAAGCTTGAGTAGAACACAATGAGCTTCCCACACCCTGGATTAAATTCCTTGAAAGGTTGGATAAATCGGTAGGATCTGACTGAGATTGAGAGAGGGTCAGTGCAATCTCATTATTGGTAATTTCCTTCAAGAAAACAGAACTTTTTAAAATTAGGAATTTAGAAAAAGGGGAGACCTCTGAATCTCCCTAAGATATTGGCTGTTAATAATAATTTCTCTCAATAGAAGTCCTTTTCTTTTTCCTTTGATCTCTTTGGGATACAGACCTAGTGTTGCTGTGTTAAAGGATATGCACAGTTTTATAGCCCTTTGGGCATAGTTCCAAATCGTTCTTCAGAATGGTATATAGCTTGCTTTGCATATATTTGTTTGCATGTTGTCTCTCCGTTTATATTATAAGCTTCTCTAGGGCAGGGACTGTCTTTTGCCTCTTCATACCCCCAAGTGCTTAGCGAAATGCCTAGCACATAGCAGGTACTTAATAAATGTTTATTGAATTGAATTAAATCTATTCTAGCTCTAATTTTTATCATCCCATGGCCATCGTCATTGTTTCCGGTCATTGTGGGCTTGGCACTCTTATGCATTAAAGATTCCAAAGAAGCACCTGGAGGAAAGGTCCCTTCAACCCTTAACATGTCTAAACACCTCTTCAGGTGGCCTAGAACTGGCCCAGCAGCTTTTGCTCCCCTAGTTGACAGCA